AGGCTGTGAACACAATGTAAACAGGTAGAACTGGAGACTCGAGGGTAGTGAGGATCGGCCTGATGTGAGTAGCTGGTGATGCCACCTAAAGCCATAGTGAGGTCCTGGCCTCTGCTGCCACTGGGGGTCTGTGGCCCTGAAGTTACCACCAAAGGCCAGGTAGACACCTCCGGTGTGGGCTGCTGCCTGGGGCCATTTTGATGTCTGAGGGCTGGGCAGAACTGGCCCCATCCTTCACCAGGATTGCTGGCCCTGAAGGCATGAGAGCAGAAGACCTGGCCCTGCGCCTCACCGAGATCAGTACTCAAGAGAGCTGGCCCTGCACATCACCTGGGCAGCAAGGTAGAGCTGGCCCTGACTCACCTGGGCAAGGGTGAGTCAGCCCTGAGGGCATGAGAGTGGGAGAACTTGCTCAGCCCCTTGCTGGCTTTGGGAATTGGATGAACTTGCCAGCAGTGTCGGAGAGATCATCCTGGTGGTATGGAGGCAGGTGAGCTGTCAGGCTTAACTAACTCAGAGACCTCCCAAGACCAGATTCAGGGCTTTGAGTTAATCTACCCCAAGATTTACCCCCTCTATATGAACTGCTGAAGTGTATGAAGGAGACAGTCTTGTAGAACCAAAGCGTCAGGATCTTTATGACACAGGACAACAACAGGATATCTGGAAGAAGCCTTGGTAAGGATCCAGTATTGATAGTAAAGCAGAAGTCAGAGGCCTGGAAACAGACCAGTGACTCATTGCAATGAACATTTGCAAGTAAAGATGTGTGGACTAAAGTGTGTACTGTGGGACACACTTCAACACACTACAGCTTCCACAATAACTTTTTTTTTTTCTTTTGGGGACGAGATTGCAAGGGTGGAGGGTGGGTAGGAGGAGACAGGAAGGTGGGTGGGATTGGGGCACATGATATGAAACCCACAAAGAATCAATAAAAAGTTAAAAAAAAACCCATGTAACTTAGAAATGATGTAAAGCATACAGAAAAGTTTGTATAGGTGGTATGTGAATGCTATGCCATTTTCCTTAAATTTCAGCTTCCTTTCAGGATCTTCAGAGAGGGAATCCAGGATCCATTAGCTGCCTGTTTTCTTCCATCAATGACTTATTTCACTTAACATAGAATCATCAAGGTTTATTCATGTTGCAGCCTATGTCAGGATTTCCTTGCTTTCAAAGACTGAACGATATTTCATTATTTGTTTATACACTTATCAGTGATGGACACCGGATTGCTTTTATCTTTTGGTAACTGATGTTGCTATGAGCACTGATGTGCAAATTCCCTGCTATCAATTGATTGAGGAACAATCAACTGATATATGCTAATTCTATGCTTAAGTTTTCGAGAGGTTGATACTCTTCTTCACACTAGTTCTACCATTTTCTTTTCACCAAAAACAGTGCACAGGAGTCTCAGTTTCTTCATGGTGTAATTGTTTTCTTTTTCCCTCCCTCTCCCCCCTCCTCCTTTCTCCTTTGTTGCAGTCATCCTAATGGGTTGACTCTTAGAGGTTTTAAGTGATGGCTCTTAGAGGTTTTAATTTGCCGTTCCCTCTCTAATGATGTATGATGATTATCTTTTCTTGTACTTGTTGGTTATTTGTACATCTTCAGAGGAAGTCTACTCAATTCCTTTGGCAACTCTTTTTTTTTTATAACATGTTTGACTTTGGTTGTGAGTTCAGGAGTTCTTTTCATATATTCTGTATATATGATAACCTCTATAATATATATCATTTATAAATATTTTCTTTTGCTCTGCACATTGTTCGTTTTTTTGGTTGCTGTTGTTATCATTCTTTAATGTATAAAAGTTGTAAGTTCCATTTTATTTCTTTATTTTGTCTGTGCATGTGTTGCGGTGTGTGTGTGTGTGTGTGTGTCTGTGCATGTATGCCATGGTACTCCTGTGAGGTCCAAGAACAATTGTCAGGAGTCAGTTCTCTCCTTCTACCATGTGGGTTCTCTCTTTCTACCAGGTGGTTAAGCTTGGCAGCTTGTCTTTACCTACTGAGCCATCTTGCCAAGGCCCCAAAGTAAACATTTTTTTTTATGTATTTCAGCTTCTCAAATTTTCTCTTGTTACTCTTTGGTGGCCTTCATATTTTTTCTTGAATCTTACTTTAGCATATCTTCTCAAATATATGGAACACTTTATGTTCTGTGTCTTGTGACCTCTTTAATGGGATTCCTAGGACAACCTCCTTGATAAGGGTTCACTTCATATATCTTAACTTAGCAATTGGTAGCAAACATTTAATAGTAGATGGTTGAATAGATGAATGAATGAGTGAAGAGGGAGCCCATCGACACACAGGCTATTCATAGTTCTGACACTCAAAGAAATGAGTGTATGTGGAGCTCTGAGTATCCTCTAGTGGGCCCAAGGAAATTAGTAAGATTGTCATCTATGCTGTACAGAGTTTCGGTTTTGTTTCTGTTGCTAAGTTATCTCCGGCTGGGTGACTTTTAAAAATTATTTTCATTTATCTCAGGGATCTGACATTGGCATTTCCTTGGCTTCTGGTGAGTGCCACTTGCTGCTTCAGACATGGGGGACAACCAGAAGAAGCATCTATGGGGAAGATCACACCGCGATTGAAAGAGAGAACAAGGAAGAGCAGAGGAAGCTGAATGTGGTTAGCAATAAACGCGTGGTTACTAGTTAAGTCTCACGGGAGCAACAGCCCACTCCTGTGAAAAAAGCATTGATCCCTTCTAATGACTAACTACCTCTTAAATGCCTTGCTGTCTCTCAACCAGACTTTGACACAGGTTTTCCAAAGGACAAGTGGTCTGTGAACTGGAGATCTGCTTAATGTGACACAAGTGAGAAAGGAGCACCAGAGGGCCTCCCATCCACCCTACTGTAGCTGCTTCTGAGGAGAGAAAATCAAACAGGTATTGCTTACAATGGTTTAAAAATGTTCACTTCAGTGGGCCCGTCTTCTCAGCTAAGGAGGAAACTTGTATTCCTAGGTATAACTAGATATGTGCACTAGATATATTTCTAAAATTAAACAAGTGATATTTAAAATCATTTATTCAGCACCCAGAAAAAAAATAACACTATCTAAATTTTGGCATATACCATATATATACATATAATTTACTATATATATGATATATATGGCACCATGCTAAACACTTTGCAAGTAATACTGCTCTTAATTTGTTAAAAACATTCTGAGGCAACATTCTATTTTAATGACATGGAACAGGAAATGGAACCTGAAGGAAACTACCTTGCCGTGGTGAGAGAGGAAGAATTCGTATTTAGGTGAGTTCTCCACTCACCCTGCTTCCTACTCTGCGCTCCATGTTGTAGAAGGCACAAAGGCAAGGAGGTATGCACTGTCCAGATGTAGCGGTACAGACAGGAGATGGGGCAGAGAGTAAGGACAACCAGCCACAGGCCATCTGGAAAATCCTTCTGCAGAAGGAGCCTTAGGGTTGAAAAATTAGTGTTGGCAAAGCCCAATGGACTCCAGCTATTGGCCGGTGCATTCTTGTGGGAATTGGGACTGCATCAGTTTTCTTTCAGGACCTCCTACCATGAGGGTCGTTCATGGAGTTACTAAGTTCTTGACTCTAGTTTATTGTGCTGGAGGTAGATGCTAGCCTAATCCCAGGCCATTTACAGACCTTCCCAAGGAGGTTTGAAACCCAAACTTTGAAAAGCCATCTATCCTTATCTAAATTGGAGAATGACAACCACAAGCAGTTGGCATTTGGTTTCCTGTTAGGTGAGGATGGGTCTTGAGGAAGAACAAGAACAGTTCAGAGACCATAGTCCCTAGGGCAGTCATAGTGTCTGTCCTTTCTCTGGCTTGCTGTGTAATAGATTCTTGAATAAATAAGTACGGCAAGTTGTATCCTGATAAGTTCTCCATTTGCTTCATGGCTCTAGTCATGTTCCTGTCAACTTTTGTGAGGTCCCCAAGACACTTATTTACTGATGGATGGGAATGGGCCAGTTCAGCAGAGCAAATGGCTAAACAAATGCCAGAGGAAAAAAAAAGCAGGACACATTGACTGGAAGGAGCCACAAGAAATTTGGAATCTGTTAGACTGTAAGCATCAAGACAGGACGTTATAGGAGAGGGGGAAGCCTAAGTAAGTAGGGGGAACTGCGATTATGGGGGCCTGGGCCTGTCTTGGATTTGATCTTCTATAATTTCTTTATATTTCTGCAGGATTCTAAACATAATTAGAAATTGATCTATGATTAGTTGTAACTGAGAGGTCCTTTTTTTTTTTTTTCAAGTTGCCTTCTGAGTGCTGGAATTCCAAGCATGCATTACCACAGGAGTTTGAGACTTTCCTGACTCCGGGACTCAAAAGCCAGCTTTAACCTCCAAGCTCTAAAGTAGCATGCTAAACGTGTGTGTGTGTGTGTGTGTGTGTGTGTGTGTGTGTGTGTGTGTGTG